CGGAAATATACGGGCTCGCACTACCTCTCTTGGTTCCCTGCCCACATGGGCAAAGACGTTCACCCACAACAACCCAACCTCAACGAAATGAGGTTGGGTTGTTGTGGGTGAACGTCTTGGCTCATGATCGAGCACGAGAACTGACCCGCCGTGACGATCAATCAGCCACCGAAGAGCTGGGCCCAGACGTGCAGTTTAATGACCCACTACTCACCTTCCATGAAATTACCTCCCACTACCGACACAACAGAAGCCGATACCCTTTACCCCATTCAAAACTAGAACGCGCGCAAGAAGTAGCCTTTAGAATGTTACAAACGAGATCGTACCCATCACGGGGCCGACTCAGCCATTATAACTCAGACATAAATTCACAGTGCCCAGATTGCACAGAAGTGTACTGTTCACTCGCGCACATGCTCTGGCAATGTCCCGCGTTACCTCAGGGACCTCTCACCAGTGAGTCCGACTGGGAGGAGGCACTCAGGAGCCCCAATCTCCGAAACCAACTTAAGGCAGTCCAGAGGGCCCAAGAACTGGCGGAACGCCACCACGTTCCCGCCCCGACTCGGGCGTCGCCTACGGTAGCGGCTGCTAGGATGTCCCACGCGGGCACCCTGGTGGCTTAAACTCCTCAGGACCATATATTAAAGTTCTTGACTGACTGACTAACAGATCCCATGTACTCTCCCAGACAAGGAATTTGTTCTATCTCAGAAAATAGAAAACCTACTATCATTCACAGCAACAGAAAGTATATGTTAATCCATTGCTCACCCCTTTTTCTGATAATGTAAGCCTCAATTATTTCTCGTTGGATTTGATGGCAATGTGTTGACAACACCACAGCTTTATAAAACGTAGGTGTGCAATGGTACAGTGACACATGTTGAAGACACGTGCGAGTGTGGATTTTCGTGTAACGAATGCTTACATTCCAGTAGCCTCATATTAATGCCTCTATTAGTTTGGCCAGTGTGTAGTTGACCGCATGAAAACGGCAAGAAGTACACGACACCTATGCATTAGCAAATCTTCTATTGCTCTGCATGATGGTGAGCCTTTTTTTCCCCCCTAGATGGAACAATATCTTAAAATTCATTGTCTGGGATAGTACACGTTGTCAGTTTCCAGTTTTTTCTCATGTCAAGATGCAATGTTGCCAGCTGTTTCTTTTACGGTTTTCATTTGCATTTTATAGCCCCGCTTTCCACCATGCATCGAACCGCACTACAGAGAAGACAAGGCAAGCGCGCTGCTTTTCCGGGCACTGAAACTCAAAAATCTGATGACTCAAAACGGCACGAACTTTTCGACATAGGCCCATGACAGACCCTTCGTGACGCCCGTGCAGCGGCTGCAGAAACAACCGCCCACGTTCTATAAGCACAGCACTTCGTGTGGCGGAACTTTCGCGCATTTTGGGCCGAACAGATGACACATTTCGACCAGGTCGAATCTCTTCTGCTGCGCTACGAACGACTCAGCAGATGGGCTGAAACCACAGTGACTGGGAAACGCCCCACGCTCCTCAAACCATTCACACCGGCAGTCCGCTCCCCGGTTTTCACAAGACAACACAGAACGAGGGACTAGCAATGCCAGCCATATTGTTAAGTCCAAGTTGAAACCAGCGGTTGAGGCGAAGTGCCAGCCCCACGGAACATCTAAAAGATCTGACCAACTGTGACAATTATGACAAGTTATAATGTCAATATAATGTGGCCGTTGGATGTGGCATGTGTTCTGTGATGAGGCCACAGATGTAGCCAAGCAGGTGTTCTGTGGCCAAGCGAGGGCACTGAAGCGCGTCACCCAAGTCATTGCCTGCCAAATGAGCGCGAAACACCCGTCATTTAAGGCGACGCTACCTACGTAGGGTTAAAAGTTTTTGTACTTGGCCTTCAAGATGTGCAACTTTGGCGCTTGCGAATTTCAGAGGCTATGCCTTGTATGGAAGGAGTTGCCTGTTAAATGAATGCAAAAAACCCGTCATCTATGGCAACGTCACTTACGTAGAGTTAATTGCAATTAAGTTCACGCTTTTTAAAACTTTTCACGTTGTTTTGTTGCATATAAGCTCTAAAAACGTTACAACTTACTTGAAGACAACCCTACTTAAGTAGCGCCACTACTGCAGTTTCGACGACGGTCGCTTTTCAGTTGACCGCTGATAATCCGGCAGGCAAAAGAAATCCAGGAGGCTGTGCCCAAGTGCTCGAGCTGCTCGCAGACGCCGCTAGGTTCGCGACAAGGTTATGGGCCGAAATACGTTCAGCTAGAGTGTACTAGTACACTCTAGTTCAGCGCAAGCTTTCACTGGGCTAATTTTGTGGCTCTAAAACGTTGTCGGAAGCGTGAGACTTCTTACCAGCTACACGGGTAGTTTACAGAGTCACAAAAAAAAAAAAAAAAGGTTCTGCTCTATGCTGATTGTATGCAGAGCTGGGCTTTTGGACGCCGTTAATTTGTATTCTGGCTGCAACAAAATGTACGTGTTACTCTGTGTGTGCTTTGTGTCCGTTTTTTTTTAAATACCATTCCTGCATATTTGTGCATTCGTTAAAGTAATCCTTATTTATATTACAACGAGGAAGAAGGAACACGTGTACTTGATCGCATAGAGTTTCCCACAATACTTAATAGAGGGAACTTTGGCGCTAGCTGCTACACACGGCTATAGTGTTCTAGAATAATGGGTAGTGAGCCCACTCTACGGGGAGAGGGTACGCTGCCGTGGCGCAAAAAATGTCAACGAGCTTTCGTTTTCTTGAGTGCCCGCATGGCGGCGCTACCATCGTCAGCAATGGGAGTTTTCACCTTTTCACTCCGCTTCTGTGTTGGCCGTGTGTCGTCGTCGCTGCAGGTTTACGGCCGAGCAGTGCCTTGCCAACACGTTCCATTTTTCAGTTCTTATAGTTGTGAATAATGTAGATTAATAGTGAACACCTCGTGGTCATCGACAATTAGTGCGGAATGGCACCACGTCGCCAGAACCATTGTTATGCGCCCGGATGCCAGACGGGATACGTTCACGTGAAAGGTGCTCCAAAACAGTCACTGTTCGTCGTCCCCAGAGATGAGATACTCGGAAGACTGTGGGAGAATAATTTACACCGTGCGGACAAGCCACTCGAAGACACAAGTGCGGTTTGTGAACTCCACTTCGAGCCTCGGTACGTAATTCGCGAATATGTATACACCATCGGCGGTAAAGAAGTGCGGATCCCACGCGGGAGGCCTATGTTGAGCAGTGACGCTGTTCCCACTATTTTGCTAAATTTGCCATCGTATCTCACCAAAAAAGCAGTGAAAGAAAGACCGCCTCGAAAAAGGAAGTCTGAGAGTCGTGCTTCGCCAGTGAAGCGCCGGCTGTGCACGAGTGGCAACTCGACGGTATTGCACACAAACGCCGTAAATACTCCGGATCCAGACGCTGCAGCATCGAGGCCAGAAGACGAACAGCTGGCCATCGATGTAGTAGTTTCTTATTCAGAAAATCCGCAGGAAGACCGCAAGTCTATGTCGTTATTTAGCTGTCTTGAGGTACCATCGCCGCACTGGACTAAGCACATCTTTCCAGATCACAAAGGCATTGTGTACTGCACGTCCGTGTTAACACCGAAGAATGAAGTACGATCGGAAAAAGTGGTCATGTTTTTTGAGTCACGCATTGCGAGCTACTGCAAAGTGTTCATCAGAGGTACCCTGTTGAAAGAAGGCACCGTGGAAACAGAGGCAGCAGCAGAAGAAGTGCTGAAAACAAGTGATCGTAAGTGCATTTGCGTTGGAGCAATATCTCACGAAGACTATGAACAACAATTTTTTATGAAGAAGCTAAAGGACCATGTGGTTACATGCAACGAAATGTACTTCAGCATTAAGTGTCTTGGCCAGGTTGATAAAAAAGGTGTTCATAATGTGCATTTTTACTAGTATGACAGCTATAACTCTTGTCGCTACGAAAGATTTCGTGCCAGTTATTGCAACTTAATTCACTGCACCTTTCTTTCAGGTGCACAATGTGTGTCTTGCCGCGATTTGAAACGAGCACTGCAAATCCGACGAGCTCGGGTGAAGCGAACAGCAACAAGGAATTGCCAATATGCAGCGCTGAAGTTGCGTGTTGTGGCCAGAAGAAACACTAGATTGTTTTCTCGCTTGAAAAGTGTGAAAAAGAAGCTGGAACAAATGCAAATTAGGAATGCTGCTGTAAAAACAGAAACTTTAGAAGCACAGATTGCTAGGCTTCCACCAAGACAGCAGGAAGCTGTACGACAGTGCTTTGCAGCTTCAAGAGTAAAACCCAATAGGTTGCGCTATATGAAAAGCTGGGTTTTAGATTGTTTAATCATGAAGATGAAGAGCCCTCGCCTGTATGAACACCTTCGTCGCAATAACATCCTAGCCCTTTCATGTAAATCAATCCTGAAGCGCTATGTACATGCATACCGCACTGTGTTTGGCTTTAGTGAGAGAGTTCTAAAGCAGCTAAAGGAAAAGACAGCGGAGCTTGATGTTTGAAAGAAACACGGTGGATTGGTCATCGACGAACTGAAACTGTCAGAACATTTTTCAGTGAAGAAGTCGGGTGCAATTGAGGGTTTTGTGGATTTAGGTCCATTTAAAACTTCCAAGGACAAGGGTGTACCATGTGACCACGGTATGGTTATCCTTTTCGTCCCATTTCAAGGCAAATGGAGTCAAGTTAATGGTTACTTTGCTACACATGGAAACATGAAAGGCGACACACTTGCCAAAGTTGTCATTGAAGCAACCATACTAGCTGAAAAAAGTGGGCTCTTTGTGGATTTTATTACTTGCAATGGTGCAAGTTGGAATAGAAATATGTGGAAAGTACTTGGGATCCAAGCGACAGCTGACTCTACTACTTCGAAAATTGAACACCCCAGTGATGCATCACGGCACCTATATTTTATATCTGACTTCCCACATCTCATCAAATGCCTACTGAACTCGCTGCTGAAGTCTGGATTAAACACCCCTGCAGGTCATGTAAGTCTGATGTTTTTTACGCATATCACACATTGGATTTCATATATGCTTACATTATCTCCAAGCTTAACCAGGTGCATTTCAATATGGTCCACTTAATTTCATTGCAGGTTGATATGCAACATGTAAGGGAAGCTCACAAAATAGACTCCTCCAACGTGACCCTTAAAGTGATGCCGGGCATAACACGGTGTCACCTGGATCCTAATGGATTTGAGAAGATGAGGGTCAGCTATGCCTTCCAGCTTTTTGGGACAAAAGTCCTCCAAGCTTTCCACCTATACAAAGACAAGTTGGAAGCAACACTTGGAAGGATGGATGTAACACAAGAGTTCTTCAGGTGAGTCGTCTCTTGTCATATGCTGGTTAAAATTAGGTAGTGAAATGTCTGATATAACCAACTTGTAAATGAAAATTATATCTTAATAGAATGCATCATTAGCACCGACATTTGGGCGAGTTGGTTTTGGTTCGTAGTTATGAACGGCGCAAAACACACGAGACACAAAATGACGTCCTTGTGTTTTTCGTCATTTTGTGTCTCGTGTGTTTTGCGCCGTTCATAACTATGAAGAATGCATCATGCAATGTAAACTACAAAATTATCAAAACAGCTGTTTTGCATATTTCAGCAAAATCCACCAGCTCATAAGAGTGATGACATCGCGGTTCCCTGCTGAAGCCCTCAGACCGTGTTCATGAGGAACAGCAGTGCTGCAGGATTTTCTGTCCTACCTCAAAGCATGGGAGCAGCATACAAAAGGTGGAGGAGGCTTTCTGAGCAATTCCACTGCTGCTGGCCTACGTGTGACCATTTCGAGTACACTAGAATTGCTTGACTATCTCACTGAAAATGTTGGCTTTAAATACCTAATGACTGCAAAAACTAGCCAGGATCCTTTGGAAAACCTTTTCGGTATTATCAGGCAATCTTCTGGCAGTAATGATCATCCAACACCAACTCAGTTTTTGATTACAGTAAACTGCATGTCATATTATGGTTTAGTTAAATGTGTCAGTCAAGGAAACTGCGAAGAGGGCATGCTAGGTTCCCTTTTGGAAGTTAGTAGCCCACGAGACACATCGCAAAATGCAGCAGGCATGGATTTGGCACCGAGCTCTTCTCCGAATGCACAGGCATTGGTTATACCTTTCCATGACCACAGCCAGCATGTTGCGAGGAGCGACTCGAGAATTATATTTTACATTGCTGGCTACGTGGCACGAAAGTGCATTTTGAAAAGCAATTGTAAAGATTGTTTGATACTACTTACCGCGCCTTCCCCAGACGAAAGCTTTCAGCTTGCAAGGTTGACACTATTTCGTGACAACGGTGGACTCCTCTACCCAAGTGCTTGCCTATTTCGGTTCATAAAGAAGCTTGAAGACTTGTTCACGGGCTGCTTTTCTTGTGAACAACTCCATGCAGACAGCATTTTAGATGTGCTGACCATTGTGAAAGCAAGGCTTTGGCTAGAGGTTGGGTGCCCAAGCCATGTCTTAATGCTCTCTCAAAAAATAATACAATTCTATGTTGTTACATGACTTCATTTTTACATTAAGGGGCTAAATACAGACAGAGCAGGCAAACGCCAGAAAGCAAAGCACTTAAAGATAAGCCACTGCTGTTAAATATTTTTCCCTTGCTTTAGAAGATTTTTAAAAATTTAATATTGTTCCTGTGTGGATTTTACAAGTGTAGGTTAAACTTGGTGTATGAATCCTTTCTGAATATTCTTTTTCTGCTTCACTGACCCAAATACAAGAGAATGCCAGATTTGAAAAACAAGCAAAATAGTATGTTGCCACTCGCCACGCATACTATAGCAATAAACCCTTGACTGATTGGCAACTCTGCTTAATTCAATTGTGAATGGTGACTTTGGTCCTTGGCATACCATCAACAGTGCGATTAATATGATCTACGAGAACATCTGTAGATCTCTATAAAAATGCATGTTATTTGAATGAAAATGTGTCTATTATTTGTCATTTTCAGTATTTCTTCTGATTCAGTGTCTTTACTTATTGTGTGAACAATATGTGTTGAGTGTTCATGTGTTTTTGTGAACTTTTTTATGCCAAGTGTGCTATTGAAAATATTTAGCATCTCTTTGTGATTATTTGTAGTTGTGAATATTTTTCTAGCATCTATTGGGCTGTTTTAGGAGACATGCTCTTTGTCGCACACGCTGATAAGTACATAATGGGGCAAGGCCCTCTTCAAGCTATTTCAGCTTTTTCCATCTGCTTTCACTTTGAGAAAAAAAAAACTGAAAGTGATTGATATGCATGGCTTTTGTGGAGTACGGTCATTGTGCTGCCCCACCAAATAAACTTTTAACTTATTCCCGTGAACGATTGTTGTCTGTATTTTTTTCCACACCTTCATTACAAATTCACTTTTATATCTTAAGCATGATTAGGATAGGTCTTTACTTCTGTGCACTACCACACATTTTCTTGCACTTTTCAGGAGAATATATCAGCTGAGAGCGCGTAAGGTGCTTAAGTTTGTAGTAATATTGTTTTATTTAGTGAGAGTACGACTTCACTAAAGTTACTATTGAGTACAAACGCTAGCATATTGGTGGAGAAATGTGAGCCGCTTATATGCCACTCTGTGACTTATTAGTGATCATGAAAACATTAGTCTCTTTTATCTAAAGGCAATCGATGTCAGTGCACGTTAAAATTTCCGGAGTCCTCCACTACGGCGTGCTTCATAAGCAGAAAGTGGTTTCATAAATCAATTATCTAAAGGCAATAAAACTGCGAGAGCGCAATACAAAACTGGCTGTTTACAGCGTATATTGCATCCCACTGATGACGCGCTCATGTTTAGCGATACTTCATGCGCCAGAACGACGACCAAAGCAAGAATATGCTCAGGCAAAAGAAGAAAAGCAACGAAAATGGCTATGAACAGGGGTTGCACAAGAGTAGTTTGTGCTTGAAGCGCTGGCAAACTAGCCTTCGCGCTGCGTTGGCCGAGAGCAGCAACGCGTCGCTTCCATTGCAGGTGGTGGTGGCGCCATCTACTAGGTGAGACATAAAGTGCGTCAGTGCACGGCCTCCAGTCAGCCCACTACCCCTTTCTAGAACACTTTAACACGGCGCTTCAGCGAGCATGGGAATGATGGGTAGTACATACATTTGTCTAATTTTTGTACTTCTGGCCTGCTTTTGGCTCCGTGTGTGTTCGTGCGGCTTGGAGCAGTTTTATCACGAAACAAAAATCAGCAAATGTTCAGCGGTTATGCTTCACAACCATATTCTTTTATGTTTACCATTTCGAATCAAGTCACTAAGTTTAAAAGGGTTAGTTTTTTCTTTCAAAACAAAACCGTAACCAGCAATAAACGAAGCCGCAAGTACGATTCGCCGCCTGCAAGTACGAAGACTAGGCAAATGTGTGTACTACCCATCATTCCCATGGTCGCTGAACGATCGCAGCGCCAGAGTGCCCTCTAGTTAATGTTGGGAAACTCTATGCTTGATCACGAACATCTCAAAAAGGTAGGTATTTTTGTTTTTTCAATAGTGATTCATTTGACAATTGATGCGGAACTCACTGTAAGTTTTTTAGAACCAAATCATAGCCTGCCAAAGAAAGAAATGAAGCAAGAAACAAAGGTACGTAAAGTAACACTGTCACATGAAGGCGCGAGAAACTATCCGGGCGTCGTCTGCTATCGTTCGCGACGTTTACTACAAGGGCAAATCGTAGCAAAAAGTCTGTTCTTAACTACGACGACTCTTAACTGTTGTTCAAGACCTCTCTGCTGTACTACGCTTCACTGGGAAGGTCTTCCTCAAAGGCCGAATGTGTGAAAAAGTTAAGATCAGTTTAAATAATCGCCGGCTACGTACTTTCAAACGTGGCAGAGCGGGGAAATCGGCCTAGGATACCACTCCTGCCGTCTTGAGGAATAGAGGCGGCCACTCGATCAGTTTTGTGCATGGAGGAAGAAAACAAATTCCTTCCTCCGTGGTTTCATGCCACGCGCGGTGCATTGACGAAGCTGCACCACTGGTAGGTGTTCTGTGGCGGCACGTTATGGTACCTCCGCTCCGCATCGTATGCCAGCGTGCGCTGAATGACCGGGACTGAGTGCCATCAAAGTGAATTCTCCACTAAGTGATAGTGGGTGCACTTGTGAGGTCATTCTGGCCGCACGAGTGCACACTGAAAACATAAAAAAAAAGCATGCGAAAAAGCCTACCGCCATCGTGTGTGCGCACGCGCATGTATGTGTGCATAAAACGCTGTTGCGCATGCGCGAGCACGTGAGTAGGCGTCAACTTGGTCACATGACACACGTGGTTTCTGACATGGTTCCTGCTGAGCATGGAGCTGAGCGCAGACTCTCGCCACCCTTGCCTTCTCTCTCTGCTATCTTGCCGATCTTGCTCCGAGCCATCCGAACGAGCACTGCTCCGCGCACGATTGTTGTGGTGGGTGGGGGCTACGCAAGTAGGAAGAGAGCCGCATGCTACGGCGGGGAGGAGGAATTAGTTAACGGAACATTTATTTCAAAGAAAAGAGCGGTTCTGGGTCGCAGTTTGGAATATGGGAGGAAGGGATTGTTAAGTGCACGGCGCGAGCTAACACGCGGAGGAGAAAAAAAGTTTATTTAACCCAAGAGGGAAAGGTGCGGTGGTGGAGTGGCAGAGAAGCCTACCTGGCGTAGGTCTCCGCTACCCACTTGGCTCAATCAAGGATCTGGTCCTGGACCTCGGGCACCGAGCTGTGCATATCAGCCAAGTCCCGCTGCTCCTATTGCGAGTGCGGGCGTCTTAGTTTGAAAGGCACTTGGACTTAGAGGCATGTGCGGAAGGGGCGCTCCTCCCTTTACCTACAGGGGAGGCTCAAGGTCTGCCCAATACACCGACTTAATAATAGAGACGGGGACGGTGCTGCGACAAACCATCGCCCACTTTCCCTGTAGGAGAGCGCTGCGCACGCCTTGGACCTTATAAAAAATGACTTTTACTTGACGTAAATGGTATGCGCCATTAAGAGCAAGGGCACGTGTTGCGACAGATAGTCACGATATTTTGGAGGGGTTACAAACTCGATGGTCCCTTTCGGCATCAATAGATCGTTAGTATAAAAATTTAGAAATATTGCGGCAGGGGAACCATATCATTGTGGACACGCCTTAGGTTAGGTAGGGTGGCACCCTAGGTTAGGTTCAGGCCGGTGGCAACGCTCGGTTATTTTTTTCTACACCAAGTGCTGTTTTGTGCGCATGTTGAGGCCATTAGCTACATGACGATGAAAACGCGTGTGCTTAAGCTATGTTTGGTGGATATAAGCGGCGCCGCACACGCACAAACTATAATCGTGTAACGGAAGAGTACCTAGACACCTACCGGAGACAAAGTGCATTTAGTATACGGACCCTTCTCCGACGGAAGCGTCATTGGATCTTGCCAGTGACGTAGTCGAAATTCGATTGGTGGGCTCACTGTCTCGACTCCGGCGCACGCTATTGGACGCGCTTCATCCGGGAACTCGTCGCACAAGGAATTGTGGGATAGTCGTTGTCGCTTCATCCTTTGGTGTCTAAGCTCTTAGCCTGCGTATCAGAGATTTATTTGGAGTCGCTTTCTCGTGTGGCACCAAAGATTTGCTAATGTGTGATTAATCTGTCTGCCCATACCTTTTACTTCACACGTGATGCAGAGGTAAGTTTCTTTATATATGGGACTTTGCTAAGCACGGTGATTGCGGTGGCCGTTTTATTTTTGTTGAGTGTGCGCGTCGCGGTGGCGCGTTGCGCGGAGCAGTTTCCCATTCTGCCGCTAGGTTGATCTAAGCCTAAGGGGACCGACTTGATTTGCTCAGGCTAGGATCTCAAAGTGGCGGTCAAAGTGTGCTTACTTAGTGCGCACGTTGTGTAGTTTGAATGTGCGCTCGTGAAATGGTGGCGAAGCTGAAATGTGTCAGCTAATGTCGACGGCAGCCTAATAACGACAGCATCACCAGAAGTGAAACGCGTTCAGCGTTTCCGCGCGGAATGGGCGGTCTTGCACCCCCGGTGCGGCCGCAGGTGGCTTTTTTCGACTTGTGGACGCCGTGTGCTCTACGGGATGTCGTGAGCTCATGCACTCGTATGTCGTCGCATGCGTGTCGTCTGTCTTGCGCTCTTTTAAGCAGGTGTGTCCACTGTCACTGGGGTCGGTTGTCGCGATCAACACGACCGACGACGCGATGTGTTTGCATCACGAACTCGCTCCATGTAGGCTGCTGCTCGCAAGGTTTGGATTGTTGAGATGTGTGGCTTCCAGGCCTTTGCATCATGAGAACGGCCCGATGCGCGCACGCCTTCGGTGCAAGCGTCGTCGTGGTGCACGCAAATGAACCTGTTTGTTGTACCATTGCACATTCATGCCTTGATAATTACCCGTCACCTCGGCTCCTAATTTTCGATTGCTAGCTTCAGTCGTTGAGCGTTTAGAGCTCGTAGGTTGGTTCTTTCGTAGTGCAAAAACATAAAATAAACAAAGGGGTATAGGGCATGCAAGCAAAATACAATACTATTGGCAAGGTTCTAAGTCGGTTGCCAGACTGAGGCTAAATCTGGCGGCTATGTTTGCCCGTACAGTATGACGCAATGTTTTCCCATTGGCTCTCGCTGTTATTCTAGTGTACTTGTTGTTCCCGTGTCACGAGGGCGCCAGCAACCTACGTGCCGCTTCGGGCTTGTCAGTCAGCGATGAGTGCGAGCCGCCTGGGTCACTGGAGGGCCAGAAGGGTACGCACAGCTACGGAGGTATTCATCGACAACGATGTATGCTGCCCACGCTGTGTGCGGACTTTTGCGGCGCCGTTCAGTTCCCCGGTAAATCCGTCGTTGCGCGTGGGCTCATCCGCGATTCATCCAACTTCATCCACGATTCATAAATGGCTTTCGAGATTTTTTGATGGCATTTCCGGAAAAATTTTAAATTGAGTAGGTTCAAAATAAACTAGAAAGAAGTGTATACTTAAGGGCTCGTTTTTCGTGTTTACACAATAATAATGAGATCTAACAGACAATAATGCCAAGGAAGGTATAGGGGAAATTATTAGGCCAATTTTATTGTAAATGAGAAGAAAGAAAAGTGGGTGATAAGATAACTTGTCGTGGGCAGGATCCGACACATCCGATCCGACACACACATATATATATATATGTGTGTGTGTGTGTGTCCAGAAAGTTTCAGTGAATTCAGCGTTTTCCAAAGTTCAAAATAACAGACGAACGTGCGGAAACGTTTTATTCTGTTTCAGCTGGGGTCTGGCTTTTGTCAGGGAATACAAGTTCTAATAAAATTGATTATTAGGCCTTGAATTGAATTCTATTAGGACTTGTAATCCCGGCTGTGGCGGCTGCATTTCCGATGAAGGCGGAAAAGTTGTAGGCCCGTGTGCTCAGATTTGGGTGCACGTTAAAGAACCCCAGGTGGTCGAAATTTTTGGAGCCCTCCACTACGGCATCTCTCATAATCATATGGGGGTTTTCGGACGTTAAACCCCACATATCAATTATGATTAGGACTTCTATTTCCTGATGAAGACCGGACCCCAGCTGAAACGTTGGAATAAAAAGTTTTCGCACGTTTGTCTGTTATATGTCTGTGTGTGCATATATATATAATGCATGCCCTTATAGGGACAGGGTAAGCAAAAATCATGTTTTTTTTTTCTTTTTGCCTTACTTGAAATCCGCAGCCTTTTCTGAACCATAATCAGTCGTTTGTCTTATTACATTTTTCTCTAAAAATGACATTTCTAAACTTATGCGGCAGCCTGCCATGCTCCCATTCTTGCATAGCAAGGGATTCCTTGCATTTCGCACATCATAGCCATAAGGAAAGGTCACAGTTTACAAGCTGGAGTGAAATTTCGAGCATTCAGAAAATAATGGGCCCAAAACTGTGAAAACGAGAGAAAGCAGAGACGTCAAGCTTTCTGTCAGGAAATCTACATTTGGTCGCTGACGTCTTAGTGGTGTCATCATTGGCAGGCACCAAAAAAATTATCCTTGGGCCAGCTTGAAGGACATGCAAAAAGCTGTCCGGTCCACATATTTTCACATGGCATCATAGGAAACCAATCAATCCCATGGCCTTTGCTCGAAAGACACCGAAACATAGTGTAAATTCAACCAGTTGATTAGTGAACCATTCGTTCGTAAAGAACACCTTCCAGCATCTGTTGTGGCTGTTAGACTATATTATCAGAAATCAAGTTATCTGGTTGCAGATAGTGACACATCAAACGACTCATCGAATGTGGTAGCATAATCAAGGTGGTCATGTGCAACAATAGACTATAAAATGAAGCTAAAGGAATAGAAATTTATTAGCCGGAGCTTCAGTTCATTCAAGCTCACTGTATCTGGCTCTTTCTTGATCACTAGCTGACACAACTAATAAAAACAAGTGGTTTGCACAGTTATGTACCGACACGACCACGTCCGTGTAGAGCACGCGAACATGCGATTTTTGCTCCGCGGGGCGAAACCTTGGGGTAGTAGCAGGCTCTGACGTGGTCAGCCTGACAAGTAGGCCATGCATGCTCCTGATACATCATTTCAGAGCTCGAAACTGCCTCAAGGCTTCGGTCCGCTGAGCAAAAACTG